ATAGTTAGATAGATAGTGAGCGAGAGAGAGAGAGAGAGAGAGAGAAACAAAGAAAGAAAGAAAGAAAGAGAGAGAAAGATAGGCAGATAGGCAGATAGGCAGATAGACAGATAGACAGATAGACAGATAGATAGACAGACAGATAGATAGTTAGCTAGATAGATAGATAGATAGATAGATAGCCAGATAGTCAGGTGGACAGGCAGATAGACATATAGATAGTTAGATAGATAGCTAGCCAGATAGTCAGGTGGACAGGCAGATAGACAGACAGATAGATAGTTAGATAGATAGACAGCCAGATAGTCAGGTGGACAGGCAGATAGACAGACAGATAGATAGTAGTCAGACAGACAGATAGACAGGAAGATATATAATAGATAAATACAAAGACAATTTGATGGACGGAAAGGATGCGAGACCTCCTCAATTTTCGATTTTGACAACGGCGAAAACGAAGCAATTCTGCGAGACTTCCTTCAAAAATGGAAAGTTGAGTGCAGAGCTGACGGCCTTGTGCCAATGCGTTTTGCGATTTTTCCATTCCATGTGTCCAAAATACTGCACCTGCCACAAACAAGTGAGGCCAGGTCATACGAAGTGCTGCACCTGTCACGCAAAATCATCTTAGCCAACCTGAAGATCTGATGCTCCAAAATGCACCCCCATCTCAGGAAATCAGCGCCTGGACCTCCTGACTCATATGTCTCTTGTACTGCGCCTGCCACACGACATGCTGACGCATCCTCTTCAAACGTCCCACGCCTGCCATACGTTTGGCTCACCTTTGACAAAATGCAAAATCCATTGCCCCTGACAAAGTGCTCCGAGACCGTCAGTCCGCAACACTTTTGACGTCCAAATGTGCTTCGTGCCACAAGGCGTGCACTTTTTTTACATCTCAACTTTCAAAAAAGGTTTTTGACATTTTGACTTCGAAAAATGCTTCGCACCACAACGGCGTCCACTTTTTGAAAGCTGCCCTGGAGCTGAGGTGTTTGGTACATTTCAACTTCAAAATATGCTTCGCGCCACAACGGCGTTATCGATAGGAAAGTAACGAGTTTCCGGTTGAGATTTTGCCTGCAATTTCCACACATTGATCTGGATGTTGTTTGAATAAGGGTAATCATGTCCAAATGGCCTTATTCAGGTTAGTTGAAATATGACACTGATACTAAATACACAACAATTTTGCTGCAGAATATAAATTGATACTAAATACATCTAACTACCATCTTTGGGAGGTATAAACCATCTACAAATTATGACGGCCAGGGTGGCCCACGTTAACCCATCCAGGTTAGCCGGGTCCCGCTGCAGGCCAATGGCACCGGTGTCAGCACCGAAGCGGAGCTCAGGTCCCAGTTCCGCGCAGTGAAACGTGCGGCGGCTCAGGATGACTTTAGTGACCTGAACATGGATAGAACGCGAAATGTTTCCAGGAGGTTATTTAGATGATATGTCATACATAAGTTCTGTTTCCAGGAGGTTAGATAATATGTAACCCAGCAAGTCTAAGGGACAACTTTTTGAGGTTTTGAGGTCCTATGAGATCTCGTGGAAAGTGGTCCCAAAAGGAACATGTTCAGCATAGTTGGGACTATGTACTTTTTGGGTCAATTCGGCATCAAAGGAACGTTGCACAAGACCATATAGATCTACTTTTTGGGTCCTTTGTGCTAAAAAGGAACATGTAATAATACCATCATGTAGATGTACTTTCTGGATCCTTTGGGTTCAAAAGGAACGTTGCACATTTATACAATTTTATAAATTTCTCAGGCTGTGCCAGGGGCGTAGCAACCCGGCTTCAGCCAAGGGTTGTGGGTGGCGTGCGGGTGGTTCCTATGCACTTAATGCAAATTTGAGATTCTGCCTCAAGGAGTCTGCAGCCTGAAAGCTGTGTGCCTTAGGGTACACATGGTTCGGAACAAAAAAGTGTGGCATGGTGGGGTTTCCTCATCAAAATAGACACCTCCCCCAAAGCGTGAGCAACGTGAGCAAAGCGTGAGCAGAGCGTGGGCAGTTGCTCGTAAGGACTCAAAAGGAACCTCAGCGAGCGTGAGCAAAGCGTGAGCAAAGCGTGAGCAAAGCGTGAGCAAAGCGTGAGCAAAGCGTGAGCAACCCATTCTCGATGACAACATTTTGCCATAAACAGTATTTCGCTTGTAATCCCGTTGGTTCACCACCCCAAATCAAAACAGAAACAGACAAAAAGCAGGCTTGAGATTTTGTGGTTGAATGCCCAGGCCGGAAAATGAAAACACTAAATCAGCACAAGCATTGAGCTTGGAAAAAATATGTGTCAGCTACCTCAGTGGGGATGGGACGTGGTATGTTGAAACAAAGCATGTAGAACTACTTTATAAACTCGGCCGTAGAATCTCCGGTTCAACTATATCAATGCTACAAACCCTCGGCTGTAGAATTTTTGGCAAAGTTGTAAAATCCTTGGCATTGTCATGAATCCTCGGCGAAAACCCTTTTTAGGACCACTTTTCGTAAGGATGTACTTTTTGAGGTCTTAGGACTTCTTGGTTTATACATAAGTTTTGTTTTTAGGATGTCATTTAGATGATATGTGATACTTAAGCTCTGTTTCCAGGAGTTTATTCGATGATATGCAATACATAAGTTTTGTTTCCAGGAGATTCTTTAGCTGATATGAAATACATATGTTCTGTTTCCAGGAGGTTATTTAGATGATATGCAGTACAAAAAAGTTCTGTTCCCAGGAGGTAATTTTAGCTGATGTGTAATAGAAAAGTTCTGTTTCCAGGAGGTTGTTTAGATGATATCATATGTAAAACCTCACTTTTGGTTCCAGGAGGTTATTTAGCTGATATGTAATACATAAATTCTGTGTCCAGGAGGTTGTTTTAGATGATATGTGATATATAAGTTCTGTTCCCCGGGAATTATTTAGCTGCTATGTAATACGTACGTTCTATTTCCAGGACGTTTTTTAGATGATATAAAATAAATAAGTTATGTTTCTAGGAGGTTATTATACATAAGTTGTTTTTGCAGGAGCTTGTTTAGCTGATATGTAATACATAAGTTCTGTTTCCAGGAGGTTTTTCAATTGATATGTAGTACATAAGTTCTGTTTGCAGGAGGTTGTTTAGATGATATGTAAAACCTCACTTTTGGTTCCAGGAGGTTATTTAGCTGATATGTAATACATAAATTCTGCTTCCTGGAGGTTGTTTAGATGATATGTAATACATAAGTTCTATTTCCAGGAGGTTTTCCAGTTGATATGTAATACATAAGTTCTGTTTCCAGGAGGTTGCCTCGACAATATGTAATACAAGAGTTCTGTTTCCTCGAGGGTATTTAGATGATATGTAAGACACAAGTTCTGTTTCCAGAAGGTTATTTAGAGGATATGTAGTACATAAGCTCTGATTGATTCCAGGAAGTTTTTTAGATGATATGTAATGCATACGTTCTGTTCCCAGGAGGTAATTTAGCTGATGTGCAATACATAAGTTCTGTTTCCAGGAGGTTATTTAGCTGCTGTTTCTTTACAATTCTATACATACATTCCCAGGTTTCCCACTTTTCCATTCTTTTGGAGGGGTCATATATTTAGATGGGCCAGGGAATTATTTAGCAGGCTAGTCAATGGATATTATTTATTGGTGGCGTCGTGGGCTATGACTCAGTTCCTGAAACGTTACGCTGCAGTTAATCCCGTGGCCCGTCGAAGTAGTATAACCCTTTAAATTGCAATTTCAAGAGGCAACATTATGTTTTTTCTGACACATGAATGTAATGGGGTAGTTTATTTCCCCAAACCGTGTGTCCACACTGAGGGGCCTCTCTGGGGCGCGGCATTTTCCTTGTAAATTTCCACATAAAGTACCTCTTGTGAAATGTCCAAGCGCATTTCGATTGCGCAGGCTCGCGCCAAGTGTGCGCCGCGCTTCTGGGCTCGGCATTTTTAAATTTCCGTATGAAGTGGCTCTTGTGGCATGGCCAAGTGCATTTCGACTGCGCAGGCTCGCACAAAGTGTGGGTCGCGGTCTTGGGATCCATCTGGTCTGCGGCATTTTACCTGAAACTTCTCGCATAAAATAGCTCTTGTGACATGTCCAAATGCATTTTGATTGCGCAGGCTCGCGCAAAGTGTGGGTCGTGGTCTGGCTCCTACCTCGCTTGTGGCGGTAAGACGTGCCAATCGCTTGTGGCAGTAAAAACGTTGATTTTTTTTTACTGCCGCAGGTGATTGTTGTTTTTGCCTGGCAGGTGCAACATTTCAAGGCCTAATCACTTTTGTGGCGGTAAACACGCGTTTCTGTTTTTAATCGCTTGTGGCGGTAAAAAATCTATCGCTTGTGGCGGTAAGTGGGTGTCCTTGATGCCAGGGTATATTAAACCAATCGCTTGTGGCAGTAAGCTGCTGCGACTGCCGCATTCTCGGACGCAGGGCAGGTTCTATGAGGAAGGAAGCGACATTGTGCACGTGCCAAGCTTTGATGCCTTTAACGCGACTTTGTGGCTGCTGTTGCAAACATGAATTCTGTTGTGCCATGGGCTGTGCTGCTGCTCTTGCACGTACTGTGGCTCAGATTCGGATGATGCATGTGTGCTTGTGCATTAAAAGGCCAGACCCTGCTACGCAGACATGAGGTTTCTTAGGAGAAATTGTTGCTAGACTTGCGTGTGTGAGTTATATTTAGTTATGTTATACGGAGACGCCGCTGCTATAACTGATTTGTGGTTGCTGCTGGTGACGGTTGCTGTAATGTGGCTGGCGCAGCAGGGCAATGTTTGATTTCGTACGGTGCCACATGTCGGTGAAGAGGGATTGCATGTGGAGGGACGCGTGCTGGATGTTATGCTAGAAAGCTTTGCTGCACCCGCGCACAAACGTGACGTTACGTGTAGGATTTTTTTTCTCTTAGCAGCTAGAAATTACTCATATATTGAATTCCTCAAGCGAAACGTTGTCATTATGTAGGGGTTTAAGGAAGAGATGGTGAAACTTGTGGCTGCATGAACATGGGTCATTGATAATTTTGTTTTTCTACTCAGGGTTGCCCTTAGATATTTCGTTCGATGATGGGCGTGCACAATGTCCACATGCAATCCATGTACCAAATTCGCACTCCCATGGGATGCCGATTGAGTTGCGCGTGATAGTTTGCGTTTCCTTTCTGACCACAGGGCTCAAGACGCCTAGCTTCTTTTCTATAGGGGTTGGTTTGACACATGCCAGTTTGTTTGAAGGTAAGCAAAGGTTGTGGCTGGTAGATCGTAACCTTTTCTTCCCTAGCCCCACCCCATTCCCCAAGGTTGAAGTGGGATGGTAAGCCGCAGGAAGTGGAGTAGCGCTTGTGTCTGCATAATGAAGGTAAGCAACGGTTGTGGCTGGTAGATTAGATCCCACCCTTTTCTTCCTTAGCCCCACCCCACCCCCAAGGTTGAAGTGGGATTGTAAGTCTCAGGAAGTGGAGTAGCGGTTGCGTCCCTATAATGAAGGTAAGCAACGGTTGTGGCTGGTAGATCCTACCCTTTTCTTCCCTAGCCCCACCCCACCCCCCAAGTGGTTGAAGTGGGATTGTAAGTCTCAGGAAGTGGAGTAGCGGTTGTGTCCCTACAATGAAGGTAAGCAACGGTTGTGGCTGGTAGATCCTACCCTTTTCTTCCCTAGCCCCACCTCACGCCCCCAAGGTTGAAGTGGGATGCTGGGTCAAGTAATGGAGTAAGTAGAATGATGCTGAGTCAAGCATTGATGTAAGAAGAATGATCCCTCCCCACCCCCCAACCGAACCCTAAATGGCTGAGTCAAGTAATGGAGTAACTAGACTGATCCCTCCCCACCCCCGAACCAAACCCTAAATGGCTGAGTCAAGTAATGATATGATGTAAGCAGAATGATCCCTCCCCACCCCCCAACCAAACCCTAAATGTCTGAGTCAAGTAGTTAGATAAGAAGAATGATCCTTATAATGAAGGTAAGCAACGGTTGTGGCTGGTAGATCGTACCCTTTTCTTCCCTAGCCCCACCCACCCCCAAGGTTGAAGTGGGATGGGAAGTCGCTATCAAACTATTCTCATCCTCCCCTACGTCTAGGCCCCCCTAATGTATTGTTTCTCTGCTGCAAGTGATTGAATCTTATTGCCGCAAGTGATGGGTTACCCCGTGGTCTTGGGATCCGTCTGGTCTGCGGCATTTATTTTTAAATTCTCGCATAAAATGGCTGTTGTGACATGGCCAAGTGCATTTCGACTCCGCAGGCTCGCACAAAGTGTGGGTCGCGGTCTTGGGATCCATCTGGTCTGCGGTTTTTTTGGGTAAATTCTCGCGTAAAATGGCTCTTTGACATGTCCAAGTGCATTTCGACTGCGCAGGCTTGCACAAAAACGGTTGTCGCGGTCTTGGGTTCGGTCCTCCTCCTCCACATCATAATCGTCATCAACATCATCATCTTCCTCTTCCTCAACACCATCATTCTCAACATCCTCATCATCCCCTTCTCAACATCATCATCCTCAACATCATCATCCTCAACATCATCAGTCATCCTCCACCTCATCTTCCGCAACATCATCATCCTCCACGCCCTCTTCCGCCACATCATCCTTTTCATCATTCTCCTCAACATCACCTTCATCCTTCTCAACATTATCGTCCTCCACCTTATCGTCATCCACCTCATCATCCTCAACATCATCATCCTCAACATCATCATCCTCAACATCAGTGTCCGCAACATTCTCCTCCTCCTCCTCCTCCTCCTCATCATCATCATCATCACCATCATCAACATCATCAACATCATCATCATCATCATAGTCGTCGTCATCATCATCATCAGCATCATCATCATCATCATCATGTTCATCAACATAAACATACATCTTCCTCTTGCTGGGATAAGTTTAGACACAAATTGTGGGTTGGCAAAAGAGCTGTTGATTGGTTTTCATGGGAAGTATTTTTTGGGCGTATCATTCAAGCAACAAATCATCATTCTGGGGGGAACCGTCACGATTAATCAACGATTGGTTTATACTCCGGATCAACATCATTTTGGAGTGAAGTATATCAGAAGAACTTTGATGAAATGCGTCTTGTCATGCCTTATTGTACGCAAGACAAAGTCAGATGTTCTTGGCGTGAGGTGACCGAAACCTTCATTAGATTAGATCCAGGGCGAGGCTGTCGGCAGCTTGCCAGTGCCGAGGTATCGAGTGCCTTTTAGACGCCATGGAGATGAACAAAGGGGTGGAGGAGTGTAGGCGGGTCCCAGCTGAAGAGCCTCTTGGTTCGACCTTTATGCCTTGTGGGTTCACATGTTTCACCAAAACACGGGAGTATAGAACTTAGAAACTGCCATAGTTGGTGTGACAACTGGTCAGTGGTTCAATTCTGGACTGAGATTCAAACTCCAAGAAACTGATCAATGTTTTTCCTACTTTCGCCAGGTAGGTTCGACCTTGTCAAAACCACCACAGCCCCAGGGAAGGCGGTCCCCAAGAGGCGCCTTTGTTGGGCAGGCACAAGATCTATGATGCAAGTGCCATGGCTCTGAGCTACCCTTTCTTCCAGGCGCGGCAACTACCTCTGTGAAGAATGGGAATGGACTGGAAATGGCATGGGAATATGACAGATATGACAGTGAAATATGAATGAACATGATGATGAACCATGATGAGCCGTTGGGTTTTGTGATGTTCTGGTCATGTTCAGATCAAAACACTTCAAGTTTGGGTTTCATTAAAGCGCCTCGATCCTTCCGGTAATCTAATCCAATCATGTGCAATAATCACTCATCCGTATAGCAATCCCCCAAAAAAAACATGTCAAATCCTACTGACATGGCGGTAATTTTTTTGGGATCTTTTTGGTGGTTGCTATACATGGATGCTTTGATGGAAAGTTCTCTTGTTAGCCCCCAGGGCAGTAGCACAGGACAGGGTGCCTCAGATGCCCAACGTCTCCAGCTGCAAGAAGCCTCTGTTCCAACAGTTCCTTGGAAGATGCGGCGGGTGCCACAGTATGCCACGGGATGCCACGGGATGCCACGGGATGCCACGGCCGTGGCTGTGCCTGTTCCATGTTCATTTTTTTTTCGGGTCAGGCAAAATGTCGATCATCATGGTGACTGGTAATGTGCTTTGGGGGGTAACACAAATTATGTTTCCGAAAAGACACGAAAGATGAAAGACAGACATCGTGCGACGGGAAACACATGGACATGGGAGTTTGTTGTTTGAATCTTACGTGTTATAACCGTGTTATATGTTTTGAGCATGATTGGGCTCATTTGCAATCCACTATCACTAATTACACTCAAAGTGTAATTCCAGGACACTTGGGAGAACTGATTGGTGGAGTGGTGATTGTCAGGTGATGACATTTGACATCATGCGACTTTAAACAAGCAAGCTTGTTGCAGGGTTTGGCCAGGTATCCCCGATCACAAACTGATGAGTTTCGCGACTGACAACCGTATATGGTTTTTCTGTGTTCTTTTAGAAAGTTACTCATATTTCGCACTATCTACCTTCAAATATGATGATATATATATATATGTAATTATATATATATACTTATTTATTTATCACGTTTTGTATCGTTTTGTTATATCACACAGCACCCAAATACACGTACATCTTAGGTGGCAATAATGGATTTCACAGCTGCAAGTCTGCACCAACCACAGCCCCGGCGATTCTGGCTTTACGAGGCCTGGAAGTCCCGGCTACGTGAAAGAAGTCTACGACACCTGCAGCAAGATTTTTGTTGCACCGGGGTGATCCAAATTGTTATTTTCGAATATTCTGGGTATGCCTGCAATGGATACCCTGCAGAACACTCCATTTGTCTGTTTTTCCTTCCAAAGCATCGTAGAAGTGCACCAGCAATTAGAATCTAAGCCGTTCACCTCCGAGACCCATTCCACAAAGTTTGCCCAATAGTGGATTAAGCCACTTTTTAATCACCATGTCGTCGTATCAAACTATTTAAATGGGGGGGGTGGTTCAGCTGCAGACCATCCATCCTCGATTGACCAGTATATACCTGGGGCCGGGGTCAAATCCTTTTGCCGTCGGTGAACATCCAAATAGTTGGCAAATGGATGTTGGTCCCCCTGAAAATGGCACCTATTATATATAGAATGGATTAGAATGGTATAGCTATTGATCATAAGCGTTCCGACGACCATATAGCTTTTATTGCAGACATCTTGCGTCCTCGTGACCACCCAGGGTGACCACCGCTGCCACACGAGGACTTGCCCGCCAAGTCCTCTACGCCAGCTGTATGCACGGCAGAGTGCTGCAGCCGATGCGAGTTCTTCACGTGTGACCTGGCGCTTGGAAAACACGACGTAGTGCCCGGTGAAGTGAATGAGAAAGTTTGTTTTTCCAAGGAAATTGCACTTACAAAAAAGGTTGGACGGGGATCGAAAACGAAACAAACACTGTCATGATCCCTGGAGGTTAAGGTATAGCATGTCGATCATTGGGGTGTATCCGGCCTTTTTGGAAGCAAACTCCACATTGTAATTACAGCAGTTGCCATACATCTCCGAAAATCTTGCAGGGCAATGGAACATCTACAAGTTTTACATGAATTTGTGATGAATTAGATACGATATGATATGATGGAAGACAATTGGAGGAATCATGCGAGTTCCGCGGTCCAACATTGTTTGCCTGAGGTTGCATGGGGTCCGCAAAGAGATGGAATGAGTCTTACAATTATTCTTTTGGGGACCTATATGAAATTCTCACCTGGTAGGAACCTTGTAAAATCATGTGGAAACTGGTTAGTTTTTGCAAGACCGTAGAACCTTATAGAATCCTCATAGAATCCTTATAGAATCCTCATAGAATCCTCATAGAATCCTTATAGAGACCTTATAGAATCCTTACCCTTTGGCACACTTTCCCATTCATGTTGATTGATGAATCGATGGCCCTTGCAGGCAATGCTAGCTCAGAACCTTGGCGAAGATCGGGAAGCATGTGATGATTGATCTAACATTCAACAACAGCTCTGCACATGTTCATGAATATATGGAGGTTGTGGTGGTACTCCAAAAGCATGGGTTTCAATACTAAAATGGTCTACTTTTGGATGATTTGGGGTACGTACCCCTATTTTAGGAAATCCCTCTATATATATTTATTATATTATATTATATTTTATTATTATATTATATTATATTAAATTATATTATATTAAATTATATTATATTATATTATATTATAATATATATATATATATACGCAAACTGTGCACACACACATGAATATATATAATATATAATAGCATATATATAATATAATATATATATATATTATATAAATAATATATATAATATATAATATATAATATATATATAATATATAATATATATAATATAATATACAATATACATATTAATGCGTGTTTTAAATGTACGCCTTTCTGTATGCACATTGTAATTGCTGTATGCATCATCGAATTTTTAAAATGAGATGATATCGAAACTTCATCGACTTAATCGACTGATACTCTACCAGGGGCTGAAGTTGCAGCTTCAAAACATGCACTTCCCAAAAAGGGAGCCAATCTTTTTGTCACTGAAGCAGCTTCTTTTTCTTTTTCCGCGATGGTTTGGCCCCATGGTGTTTATGAAGAACTTTGGGTCCCGAGTTGCAGACCTAATGGCTTTAATGAAGGCAATGTGTAGCCTCAGGGTTCCATGGACAATTTCCCCATTGCGAATCGGCAGATGTTGGTCCCTTCACCCTGAACAAAAATCTTTACGGCCTTGAGTGCAGAAAACTGTGGTAAATCCAAGAGTTTGCTTAAATCTTTATGAGCCAACTGTAGACCATACAAGTACCATCCAAAAAAATGTCTTCTCGATAAATGGCAAATGGTACAATCTACTATTTGAGATTGGTTTTCATGTGGTCAAATGGCTACCTGCACCCAAACAGCTTACTACTACCCTCTGGTTGTTCAACATTCACTTTGGAAAAAAAGCACTTTTGATTCTTTGATGGGCGAATCATCTATAAATGCGGCATCGTCTTTGGCTATGTTTTAAAATGAACTTCTGTCATTTATTGCCCCACAACTGAGGTCCTAAAACCTGGAGCAAAGACACGGTGGGGATTTTCCCAAGAGATCTGTTGCGAGCGCCCACCGGAGATCCAGTGGAAAGCGGCCACTTGGAATCGTGGAATCGCGGAGTCACCATCAAAATCATGGGGATATCATGGATGATATACTGGGAATATCATTCTCCCACTTTAGGTTCAAAAGATGTTCCAAACATATCTCCAATTCATGTGTTTACTCATCTTCATCAATGTATTTTTTCTGATTGTTCAATGATTCACACGTTTCTTGAATGATGCTCCATGTTTTTTCATGGACGCTCCATCCCCCCACATTTGCTGTCACCCAATGGTGCCTGCAGTCCCAGTCGCTTAGGACGAGTGGCCACCAGCGGTTTGCTCCAAAGAGTGTGGGCTGCATGAAGTGCACCTCGGATGGTTCCAGATGGTGCCTGCTGGACACCTATATCGCAACTCCCAAAAACATGGACAGGTAATTCCAGGATGGTATGGATTATGTTTGAATTTATTTGTCCCATATTTTCCCGGTGTCCAAGTGTTCTGTTTTCTGGAGGTTGCTGTAGACGTGTCCAAAAATAGGCTTGCGAAAGGTTTGTCTGAAAATGGGGAGACCCATAAAATAGATTCACATATTCTGGTTGGTGGTTTCAAACATTTTTTATTTTCCAATATATATATGGGGTAATCCTTCCCATTGACTAATATTTTTTCAAGATGGTTAAAACCACCAACCAGTATTCATTTCAATGGGGAACATGATGATAGACCATGGGATTTTGGGGGACCCGAGGGGCCCTATTTTCAGACACACACACACATTTATAGTATGAAGATATTTGAAGATGAGGCCAGCCACTAAGTTCAAGGTTCATGCCACTTGGGAACAAAGATGGATAATTTGAACATCGGTTATACGATACATTGTGGAAATACACACGCGCTTACCAGAAGTTCTACGGATTCTAGATTAATACGATGTTTGATGATGGTCTCCCGATCTTTTGTGTGGCAATCGGAGGTGTCATCATGTTTCCAGTACCGCTTGATACCGTTTGGATCAACATGTTTCCAAAACCTGATGAAAACGGAGGTGTCATCATGTTTCATTTGATCCATGCGCTTGGTATCCCTTGAATGGCTCAGATGACCGTGGTGGGCTGTCATGGGGGCAACCAGGCCACCTTTAGATCTTTCAGATTCGCCGAGTCATCAGTTCTTTTCACCCATGCACGTTGGTAAATTATACATACAGATACATACAGATATATACATATACATGCAGATACATACAGATACATACAGATACATACAGATACATACAGATACATACAGATACATACAGATACAAACAGATACATACAGATACATACAGATACATACAGATACATACAGATACATAAATACACATATTACACATATTACACATACAGATACATAGGTACACATGCATACACATACATACACACACATACATATACACATGCATAATACATACACCTACATACACGTACATACACATACATACAGTACACATGCATACACACACATACACACACATACGCACACACACACATACACACAGACACACACATACACACACATACACACACACATACACATACATACACATACATACACACACATACACAGACATACGCACACATACACACACAGACACACACACATACACACATTTACACACACATTTACACGCACACATACACATACATACACATACATGCACATACGTACACATACGTACACATACATACACATACATACACATACATACGCATACATACACATACATACACATACATACACATACATACATTTACTACACATACATACACATACATACACATACATACACATACATACACATACACATACACATACACATACACATACATATACATACATACATACATACATACATATACATATAAATATACATATACATATACATATACATACATGCACACATACACACATACACACATACACATACATACGCAATACATACGCAATACATACGCATATACATACATACATACATACATACATACATACATACATACATACATACATACATACACATACATACACATACATACATACATACATACATACATACATACACATACACATATACATATACATATACATATACATATACATACACATACATACATACATACATACATACATACATACATATATATATACATACATCCATGCATGCATGCATGCATGTTATGTTTTCAATGGCCTAAGGTTATGAACATCCTTTCCAGGGTTGTTTTGTTTTTTCATAGCAACCCATTGGAACCACTGGCTACCTATGGTTGTTTCAACCGCAACTGTGACCTCGCCTGTTGTGCCTAGCCAGACCTAAGGCACGAGACACGCAAAGTGCTGTGCTGGGACGCAGCAAATTTGGCAGAAGTGGTGCCGCGGCATCCGGCGGTAGGGATGGGATGCCAATGTGCGAAGTATATGCCAGAGGCAACAAAGCCGCACAAACATATAGGCTATATACAAAAGGGAAGAGAGAGAGAGAGAGAGAGATATATATATATATATAAATTTCATATATACATATGTATATCATTAAATATCAGTATATATGCATATTTTATGTGATGTAGTAATATGCAGCATATAGATAGATAGACATATTAAATTAGATTAGATAGATCCCGTCTCGATATGTGTAATTGCAAATCGTTTGGGCCTCACAACACATGTACTTTGGGATTGCTCACCAATCCCCTTGGCCAAAGGATATTATATTTATGACACGTCACAACCCCAGTTGCAAGGATAGAGTAACCCGTTTTTTTTCTGTGATATTTAGTAGCTCCCCTGGAAACCATTGTTTGGTACTGGATTTTTTTGGGACGGTGCCTTATTGAAGGTGTTCAGTTTTTGTTGGGGGGATGGGATCAACCATTTATTGTTCCCATTGGGGCTGAGTCTTATACTGATTCCGAGTTCATTCTTGGGTGTGGCTTAAGCTTCAAAACTATTTGCGCATAGATTATATGTCAAATTTAATGTGGTAAACCCATTAATAAACCACCCCCAAAATCAACATCTTGATGGGTGCTATACAGCACCATACCCAAAATGCTAGCTTTATGGCATTGGTTTTCCCACAGTTGGTAAACCGTGAGCCACCCATCCACCCTTTGGCAGTGGGCCACAGGACGTGGCTTTGTGCAGTGCCTTGAAGCAGCCATCCCAGACGCGAGTCCGCTGTCCCGCGACAGCCAGCTGTGGGACTTGCAAGGCTGGGGCCGCCAAAGGTACTAAGGAAACACGGGGAAAACATTGCAAAAACCACGGGAAAAACCATGGGAGAAACTGGGTATATGATGGGAATATCCTGGTGATATCATGGGAATACCTAAAGTTGGGAACGTGATTGGGGATTTACCGTAAACTACAACGACCGAGCACTGCGACCTCACGGGAACGATGGGTAGTAAGGGGTAACTATCTCGTGAATTAATGTAATTTATCCAGATAGTCTATTTTTTTTAATGTAATTAATTATAGATAAAGTCTAGTTTGTCTCTGTTTTTGTTTATCCATTGATCGGTTGATCGTTCTATCTACCTATCTGTGTATGTGTGTTTGGTTTGAAGTAGGGTAAGGCAAAATCCACCGGTGAATGTGAATCATAATTTTCCCAATTAGCTAATAGCCATTTGGGGTACACTAACAATTTCAGACGCCACCAGTTTCTTATTCAGTTTTCTGTCCGTTTACCCAGTGTTGCAGTTCCGAGTCATAAACATGTGCACATGGCACTAACTTTGGAGTCTTATCAGTTATATCCCAACTTAGTTTTTGCTCTGCAAAGTATATTATATCCCAATTATGAGGTCATCAGCTTGGAAACTATCTTATATATTCTTATATCCCATGAAGTTCTATCCGACGTGGCTTTACCAGATATATCTCAACTCTCACTTAAAGAAAAGCTGATGTGCCCCTCAAAAAAACGGTTCTCCAAGACTGAGCATTGCCAGGCGACCAGCTGCCCCGAGGGCCATGTCGCCAAGCTGCAACCTCCCAGCAGCTGTGCAGGTGCGATCATCACGTGTCGTCAGCAATCCTTATTTTTGAAGTCACCGATTTCTGGATTAAATGGAGACCGGTACTTAGATTCCTGTCTTCGATGGAGATTAAATGGATTATTCTGGATTTTTATCCTGGTTACAGTAGATGGTGTAACTATGGTGAAACGAACCAGTAAGTGACAGGCTCCTCCAAGACTGGGAACATGATGAGTCGCCATGAAATTAGCCCATTTTCAGGCAAAACTGTACCTGGTCAAACCCTGGTGAGTAGTTGAATGGTTTGATTATGTTTCACTGTGTTTAATTCCTAGTCACAAGTCACATACTACGAATTTTGCACTACCCAGGTCACCCAATTTGCAATTATACTGACCCAGAAGCAGGAAAGCCTTGTTCCTTTGAGGAAAATAGTTTGTAAACCGATAAATGCAAGGATTTTCCATTGCCACGGTTAATTGCTGGAGGGTATTATCTTCAGTGGTTATTTAAAGGGGGTTGGGAAACCAAGGGTTTGGAGGAGCGAGTTTTAGAAATATGTTCTTGTTTTCTTGAAGTTCTGGATGCTCTTTCATCGGCAAAAGCACCACAAGCAGATATAAAATGATATAAACAGTGATAAATGTGGTTGAGTGGCGAGCCATAATTTTCGTTCATGTTCATAGCTTTGAAACATATTTAGGGCTTACAACAGGGCACCCAGAAAACTGAAAATCGCTTTCAGCCATGTGACCCCACAACCAGATATGTTCATGGGTTGCTTCATATTCAAGGTACATTGTTGATGTCACAGGTTCATTGCTGGTCTGTTTGCCAGTAGTGACAGTAGTGGTACTCGTACTAGAACCAGCAGGATCAGCAGTAGTCCCAGTGGCAGTAGTGCATCAGGAGTCTGAAGGATTTAGATAACAAAAGGTCGACAACAACATCAAGCTTGAAGTCCCTACAGTACCTATCAGCCTGCGGTAAAGAGTAATTCTACATATATATATAATTAATGGGAAGCCAAGGAGCTACTAAGAGTTTCCGAACCACATGATGGCGCAAGAGGCAAGTGATTTGAAAGGCACTCTCAAAACAGCATCACAAAAGGTGGGTTCAGCGCATGATAAGTGGGTCCTCTAGATCTATCAGATTTGTACTGTACCTATAGCTTGGTACGTAGCAAGGCCCCCCATAAATGGATGCACATTTCGGTAACAGTAAAACAGGGGTTGGTTCAGCAGGGTTTTGTATCAGTAGGGTTTTTTGCTAATCTCTTTTTGTCTCTTTTTGTCTTTTTCTGTCTTTTTCTGTCTTTTTCTGTCTTTTTCTGTCTTTTTCTGTTTTTTTCTGTCTTTTTCTGGCTTTTGTTATAATTGAGTTGTAACTTTTTCCTTGCTAATGTCATGAGGAGCACCCGCACCCAACACGAAAGATCAGTCATGCTCAATGCTTGGCTGAATATCGCTGAGAATTCGACACTGTCCACTTTTGTTGTGCTTGGTTTTGCGTGGTATCGGTTGTTGTTGTTGTTGTTGTTGTTGTTGCTGTTGCTGTTGCTGCTGCTGCTGCTGTTGAAAAGAATGATGCCATTGACCACAGTTGAACGACCATTGGCCGGCATGTTGCAGCATGACCTGACATGACTTGACATGTGCTGGATCGAACTCTTTCTGTCTGTTTTTGTCTCTTTTTGTCTTTTTCTGTCTCTTTCTGGCTCTTTCTGTCTTTTTCTGTCTTTTTATGTCTTTCCCTGTCTTTTTCTGCAGTTTTGTAAAAGCAAACCATATTGGGCCATACCCCATTGACTCAAACCCTGTTTTATGGGTCCTGAACATTAATACACATCTCATTGCACATAATATCATATATATACTATATATATATATACTATATATATACTATATACTATATATGTATATATAATATGTATACATATACAAATATAATATGTACATACTATATATATATAATGTATATGCATATTCATATATATATATTTAAATAGTGTGCCACATATCATATACATACATATATATATACATATTCCACTGCTGGTTGGATCTCCATTGATGGTGTTGCTGATGACATGCCACCAGATTGCCAGGTCCATGCACCGCTGCAGAGTGCTGCGATCGGCTTTGCTCCGCGGAAGTGTCTTGCAGAGAAGAAACATGAAGACACATTGTGAAGAAACATGAAACTATGACAATGATAATCATGCAAATCTGCAAATTATCAGTCATATCAAGTCATAATCATGATTATGACTTGATCATTGTTGATTACCCTGCGGTAGTCAAACATGGCTTGCTGGAAGATCCCCCATTTAGTTCCATGAATTTCCCAACTGGAAACCTCCGTTTTGTGCGGTGATTTCCCATTGCCATGTTTAATTCCCGGCGGGTACATAGTATGTGACTTTTAAGAATCAAACATAATTAAACGTACATACAGTAATCTAAACCATTCAACTAAACCAACCAAGGTTTGACCAGTTATTGATACTTTATAGGGGTCCAAATACATTTAAAAAAAAACAGTATGTGAAGAAAACAATGGTTTCCCTCCGTAATTGCCAGGTTTTCAACGTAATTACATTTTTTTCGGGTTCGCTATTCTGAAGATTCGATTGATGGAAAACAGATGAAAGCTGATGGTTGCAAACAGGGTTGGTTCCTGATAACATACCCTGATTGGGGGGATGGTGCCATACTTGAATTTGTGTGTCCCACTTCCACATGTTGGCTCTACACTCACAAGAACGTGTTCCCTCCCTTTTTTGGCTCTAAGTGCCAGCCAAATACAGGTATTTCTCCTGCATCTCTCTCTCCCTCTCTCTGTTACACATGTCTCAGTCATTTTTCAAAATGCATATATATATATATATATATGTACATATAGAAATAGAAATATGCATAATATGTATTATATATATATATGTGTGGTGTGCCTTGGGTTATACTGATAGTGAAGGTCAAAAGAGTGCCTCTACCCAAAATGTGGATGCATGGCAATGTGGAAACCCACTAAGTTGAGGGATATAAGGTAATAAAAAACAACGCAGAGCAGCCCCCACACAGATAGAGAAGTTATCACCTGACCATTTTAGTGGGATAAGTCGGAGAAGATAAGATAAATATATTTGATTTAATGTTTTAATATACTTTAAGCAAAAACATATATATATATATATCTTAATTTTAATATACTTTAGTAAGATGAATCACTTACTGTATATTTGGTGTAATTACTTTTCCAATATTTGGTGGGGTTGCTATGCATCTCTATCCAACATAGCCAGAGACGAAGAAGTGATCCCCAGGACTGCCCGGTGGGCCACAGCCCCAAGTCGCCAGCTCCCACATGCAGCTTGGTTGCAGGGATTTCCTCACTGATTGATATCACCATGGATGGTGGTTTGTACGTGTATACCATATACGTGCTGCATATATATAATTATATATATATTATGTGTGTGTGCGTATGCACACAGATGTACCCCGTAAAAGTCACCTTATTTCCCTATTTCAGTCAATCGCTTGGTGAATCAAAGAGAGTCAGCCAGATGAAGGGGGGTGTTGCGGAACAAACAGCACAGAAATTTAGTCTAATTTGGATATCACTTGGCCGTCTTCCGTCTTGAAGAGCGTTTGGTCACTTCATCACCCCTGACAAGCCTTCCAAAACGCATGATGGATGTTTGTATGATCGCCCCACTCAGCAGCAAGAGATTTTGGATGATTTTGGATTACTTGCAATTTGTTAGTGCATTTTTTTTTGCCACGAGAGGCTTCAGCTCCGTTGCCACTGGAGAAAAGTCGGACGACCTCATGGCCCAGATCAATATTCAGTCCTGGTTGTTGTTTTCACACTTCGCAACTGAGGTACAAATTGCACAGTGCAACTCGGCAGTTGGAGAGCTGATGTGAGAAAATCACCCATCAAATCCTGCAACGAATGCAGTAAGATATATCATATGCAAACGAGTGCTTGGGTGATGCTTGAGTGACAAGGATCAGGATTTGAGTGGAGCCAGAGTTTGATGAAGTATATAGATTCACAAATGGAGCATTTGCATGCATTTGCAAACACTAATGGCTTGAACATATCAATGAGTACAATTTAACACCATCTGAAACGTACAGCTGCCAGGGCCACGTGTTGCGATCCAACGCGGTGGAGTTTCGAGGAGTGGAAACAGCGAAACGAGTGTGACAGTAGCTGCGGGCAGCCGGAAGTGAAGCTTGGCGGAACAAAGCTGTGATGAAAACGTATGAAAACTGAGGGTTTCCATGGGGAATCCCCAATAGCTGGTCGAAAAGATCATGGAAAATCTATGAAAATCAATGGATGACACCTCCAATCAAGATTGGGGTTTAAAACCCAAGATTGTGAATACATGGGGTCTAAGCATCCAAACAAATAGGAATTCAAGCACCAAAAGTGTGACCCGGAAGTCATACTGTTATCGTATGTGGGTTCAGAAACAGAACAATTTCACATCCATAGCACATTGTAGCAGTGACATGGATTTTCACTAACAAAAATTGTTGTTGCAGTACCAACCTCTAACGTCTGTGTATATTTCACAGTATTAGATGAGACCCAGCTGAAATACTTCAGTGTTTCGTGGTCATTCAAGTTGCCCACCGCAGTAATTCTTGCACCTTTGGATAGTCACCCAACCGAGGATACAGCATCGCTCGGTGCTTTGCAAAGCCTACCCCGTCGAGGCTTGACCAAGCTTCAGATCCGGACAGCATCAAACATTCCCAGACTTGGTTTATGGGTACAGCAGTGTTAGAGGGACCCCTCCAAAAAATTGCAGTGGCACAACTGACCCCCAAAAAAATATGCACTGTAATAATTATTAATAATTATTACAATCAGTTTTTGTGGTATATCAGGTAAGTATGCCATACCATAACAATCAACGATTCAACTGGTAATTGTCCATCTGTCCGCGCCAGGACGCCGGACAGATGGTGCGCAACGACCTCTGTGAGGGCCCGATGCCGGCCACCTCACGGGTGCCGCCTCCATAAACTCAAAGATTGGGAGGCTGAATCCTGAGAAATATATAGAAATATGATGAACCTTCATGAACTATATCAGACATTATCAGACTATATCTGATATGTTTATATATTTTTGACGTGGTCAGTGGTTAGCATCCCCATTATATGCATACGATCCATTCCATCCAGTTGCTGTTGGTTGTATCCCATTAATAGAACCCATGTTCATTGGAGTGTTTTGTCGGTCCAAGGGGTAGCTAGTAAGCAGTTTTGACAAGTTTGAACCTATCCGACCCGCTCGGTATTCTGCACACGGCGCACGAATTAAATCAGCCCATGTTTCAATAATGATTCTAATATATCTATCTATCTATCTATCTATCTATCTATCTATCTATCTATCTATCTATCTATCTATCTATCTATCTATCTATCTATCTATCTATCTAT